TCAAACATGATACACATACACAAGAAAAAAACAAATCGGACTTGATCAAAATCTGAGACTTTTTGCATCAAAGGAAAGTATCAAGAAAGTAAAAAAACCATCCAAAGAATGGGAACATTTGCAAATCATATTCTGATAGAGCTCTTACAACTCAGCTACAAAAAACACAAGGGATTGAAAATGAGCAAAGGACTTGAACAGACATTAATCCAAAGAAGACACAGGATGACTAACAAACTTAGGAAAACATGTTCTAAAGGGCCACAAAGGAAATATTTTAGGCTTTGTGGGTCATCAGGCAAACTGGAGAATGCCATATAGGTACTTTGTAACAATTTTCAATGTAACCATTAAAAAAATGTAAAAATCATACTTAACTGGCAGGCCATTAAAAACAAAAATCTCAAGCATGTGACTAATTTTTTAAATTTCAGACATTAATAAGGATAAATAATCACTGATGACTTACACTGTGTCCCTGGATCACAATGTAACACTCTGCTGTAACCGAGGTTTACTACCCATTCTCAACTAAAGAGCGCTGCAAGGTGCCTACTGTTCCAGAAATACACATGAAAAAAAGGAAAACATTGCAGAATTAGTACAGCCAGGCAGAAATCTAAATACAGGCACTGCTACAAAGAACAAACTATCACCAAAGCATGGTATCTGGGACACCACACACCAATATCAAAGGCCAGCCTACCCTCTGAGAGGCTGTGCATTTCTTCAGGAACTAGATTCCCTATGAACTGCGCTCTCTGCCAGCTCAGCACAGTTCCTGGCGCGGAGCTCCACGGTTGCTAAAGTCTGTTGTTCGGCCGTTCTGCCATCATCACCTGGTTGAGCACCGAGTCCGTCACGGGAGGAATTCATACTTATTTCTAGGCACACACTAAACATGAGTGAAGTGAAGTGAAATAGAAAACATTAACAATGTGCTTTGAACGAACAACTGAAATTGAATTCTGAGCAAAACTTAGCACACCAAGGAAGAATACCAACCAACCAACCAACCCACTGTGATCTGGGAGTCAGGTGGTACGTGGTCCCCTGGGAGCTGCTTCTTGCCCCACTAGTGGTCCCACTATAAGATGCAGGTTCAGTGGGAAGCAGGGAATGGATCATGACACACCTGAGGCACAGTCACTGTTTCAGTGGAGGTGTCTCTGGAAAGAGAATAAACTACATTTTTAAAGTAATGAGGCATAAATAACATAACAGTTGGTTTATAATGTTTTCATTAAATTTTTAGCATACATACCCTATTTGTGTGGATCATGACAAGCTCTGGACAACATTGTGAAGTATGAGTATTCCTGAACACTTAATTGTGCTCATGAGGAATCTGTACCTGGATCAAGTGGCAGTTGTTCGAAAAGAACATGGGGACACTGAATGGTTTAAAATT